TGAAAAAATTCTCTCTAAAATTCAAGAACTGACTTTACTTTTGACAACTTGACCAACAAAAGCCTGTTCTTATGTTACTGGACTATTACTGCATTGGCTTAACCTTGGACATGTGGAAGTAAGTATGCTGAGAGAATAAAGCTTTTGCAATTTGAAGGACATGTTGTTTGTTAATAAGCCTGTTAAAAAAAAAAAAAAAAAGCTGTTAAACAAGTAGTTCTTGTTTATTTTTTCAAAAGGGGTGCTGCTCTAACTCAGAGGTTGTGCTCTCAAGTTGGAAAGACTGCATCACCAAAGGGAGGACCATACTTTTCTTCTCTTTACCTTCACAACAGCTCAGCCTCCCAGTGCCTCAGCCACGACACCAGCTGCACGGCAGGTGTGAACATGACACGTGGCCAAGCAGAAGGGGGATGACCTATCCCAAGCCGGACGCCAATCAAGCGCGAACTGGGTTCCTGATACAGATTTTCACAAGATCAGAGACAACTTTTAACCTCACACCGAGCCCCACGTTCTCCCACGTACGATACCGCCCCTCCTAAGGACACCAAGCCCCAGGCTCCTCTCCCAGCTGAAGCTCTGCAGGCCCGGACCGGCGCCCCCGCCTCAGTCGGGCATCACACCGAGCCCGCTGTCCTCGCACCGCTCCCTGCCCGGGGGGCCGCCAACCCCCGCAGCTGAACCCCCTGCTCTTCCTCTGGCCCTGCCGAATGCTCACTGTGTCTTTATCGGCCAAGCCCTGGCGCCGCTTTCCTCCCTCCGTGGGGGCGGCGGCCTTCGTCCCCTCGGAGCGCTTATCCCTGGCTTCCTCCGCCGCGCCAGGAGCCGGGCACGGAGCGGCCCCGGGGCCCTTCCTGCGCGGCCCGGCCGTGACGCAGCGCGGGCGGAGCCGGCGGTAACGGCGGTACCGGAGGTACCGGCGCCATGGCGGGGGCGGCTCCGGCGGAGGGGCCGGGGCCTCGGGGCCGGGGTGGCCGCCGCGGCCGCCGCCCTCGGGGCTGCCGACGGGCCCTTCTGGGCCTGGGATGGTGCTGCGGCCCGAGGGCAGTGCGGTGCGGTGGGGAGGGGAGGGGGCAGCTTTGCCCGGCTTCTGCCAGTGGAAACGTGGGGCTTGGTGAGCTCTCCCTGAAAAGATCCCAGCCCTGGTCCGTGCCCGGCCTGTTTTAGATAAATAATAGTAATAATAATAATAATAAAGGGTGGCTGCGTTATTGCAGGATTTGCTCTGGCCTCCTGTCCCTGACAGTAAAACGGAGGGGGGAGGAAAAGACAAATTAAGGTGAAGGTCTGAATGATATTTTATGGGCGTTTTAGATTATTTATTTTTAATTTCTTTTTAATAGAAGAGAGGTACTCCTGGTGGCAGCTAATACAGGTTCCCGATAGGAACTGGTACCCTTGCTCAGTGCCAATACCCATATAAATATCTCTCCTTGAAGCCATAAATGCAGAAATTACGTACTGTGAAGATCTATTCTGCCACCTAATTAAAGAGGAAAAAATCTTTTTAATTTAATGGAATATTTTTTATTTGTTGTAGTACTTCATTTTCAGACAGTTTCTTGTCTGTTTCATTATTGAGGAAGCATGACTTTTTGGTTTGGTTTTTTTTACTAAGTCAGAAGCATTTTCTTCATTCTTAGCATGGGCAGTTCTTGCAAATTTTTCAGTTGAAATATGTGCTTCTGAATCAGTCTGTCTTTCTGTTTAGATTAATGTGGAAATAACATTAATGCTTAGAGTGTACTAACATTGCTACAGAATTCACGTGTTCCTCCCCTCCCCGCCTCCAGGGATTTTGCTAGTTGTAAGGACTGGAGCTCTTGATTGTGCTTGAAGTAGCATCAGTTTCTCTGCAAGCTCAGAGATTAGACAGAACATTTATATGTAAACTGGTATCTTTTGCTTCAATGTGTCTTGTCATCAGTTCAGTAGATATAGCCACTCTGAAATACACTATCCTGGCACTATGAAAATAGAGCAGTTCTTCCCCTCAGTTTTCCCAGGTTGGTTTTGGTCGAGAGCTCCTTTCATCATATGGATAGATTAAACTTGTATTGCAAACCTTAACAGCTTGTTTACAGATGCCCTGCTATTGTCTCTCTGTGCTGATGGGTATGTTTTAATAATTTTCTTTGTCTCATGTGCTTTCTTGATACAAGGATTCTTTTTTTGTGTTTGTTCTAGATGGCGTTGTCAGACTCAGTCACTACTTGTCTTTCTCAGCCTGTGCATTATGCAATTTGCAAACTTGGGTTTGAGAAGAAAGATACGTATGATATTAACAATATTTTATCTGGAAACGGTGAAATATGTTGGCAAGCTGTTACAGAGCACGTGTGTTACCTTGAATCAGGTTGGTGTTTATCTGCTGTAGTAGTAATGATACATTTAAGACTGATGCAGAATTTCAGTACATGATAGCAATTGTAGCTTAGTTACATTTTGTTACAGTACAGTATTAGCTTTTCTGCTGATTTAGAGTATGTACAGTTAATATCTACAAAGAGCTTTTTTATTTGGCTTTTGCTGGCTCCTAAGGTTTGTGTAATCTGTAGCTGCTGCTTTACCTTCATCTTGGTTCCCAGTTTAATGTGCCTGTAACGTAAGGGTTCGACTCTGCTTCTTTCCAACCTCGTAGTGTCCTTCTTCTGTGTTCTTTATATTCCTTTTGCAGTAAATTTAAAACACTCAGGGGCCATCAGTATTCCTACTGTTGCTTCTAGTTTTGTTTCCCCAACTCTAGCTTGTACGGAAGTACCATTTGGTTTCTTTTCTGTATGTAGAATAGTTTAAAGTTGTTTTTTAAGCAAAAAAAAGCATTTACACCTTGATGAACTCACTGAATTTTAGTTAGCCAAATTACATCCTGCAAGCTCTGTTATTAATTTCCAGAGGTGGTAAAATGGTACATATTTCTGCCTCAAAGACTATCTTTCAGTAAATTACAAGAATTTATTTTCCTATAAAAAGTGTCCCACCAAAAAGAAGCAGTGATAACACTCTGTAAGGTACCATACACCAAAAAGAAGCATTGATAACACTCTGTAAGGTACCATATCCACCTGCATTCTTTAAAGGGTGTAAGTGGTGCAACTTGACTTATCCTGCTGAGCTTGCTCTATCTTCCAACTTGATTGTGTGGAATTTCTGTAGAAATTCTAGTAGGTTCTTCCCATTTCAACAAAAGGAGATCAGTAATGATTCTATTTACTTCCACATTTTCTTGTGTTTAGACTTTGTTGGTTTTTTTAATTTTGTTTGGTAGGTTTTGTTTTATTTGGAGAAGGTGCTCAGTCTTACCGGACTGCACTGCAGTTTTACTTTTCAATATCTATGTTCTAGACATTAATTGTAGTGAATTAGTTGTGCTAGAAAAGTCTGGATAAAATTTTCTGTGCTAAATATGTACACCACCTGTAGCAGGTTTCATTCCTTATGAGTTTTAAAATATTGGGCCTTTGGGAAGATTGGTACGCTAATCACCTTCTCTTTTTCAATTTAAGATCAAAGTGTGGATTATATCAAAAGCATACGATCATTAGGACCTGTATGTGAATCTGTTAATGTGCACTTCAAATCTCTGACCAAGGAGCAATTCATAATTCAGTATGCGTCGTGGTTGCACTGGACAAACTGCACAGAGGTAGAGAAATTTCTGTTAACAATTCGTATTTTGGCACACGAACCCTTTGTGGAAGTTTAATGTAAGAACAAAGAAGAGATATCCATGAACCAAAATGTTTAGAATTTGTAACTAATTGTATGTCTCTGTTATGTGGTTGCTTATAGTTTCCCTGACTTTGTAATTATATTTTATATTAGAGAACATGAGTTGCTTTGGGCCTGTCCTAACGTAAGATCACAGGATTTTTATTTTCTAATAATCTGTGCCTAGTATCAAGCTTTACCTTATAAAGTTATTGTGGATAATTTTTATATATGTAGGGCACTAGTTATCAAGTGGTGCTCTAGGGAAATTTCTCTCCAGGTGTCTATATTTTTATCTCCTTGGCACAGTTTTCTTTCTACATTTGTATAGCAACTATCACGGAGGAATATTTAGGTTTCTGTGTGCTTTTGAAAATTTGATTTTTCCTTCTGAATATTTAACGCAACATTCTTCCTCTCTCCAATCATACAGGTATTTCTTGAAGTATTTGATGTTTTACAATATGCACAAACTACAGAAGTTGCACTCAGCTTAATGAAACTAACATCATGCTTGGAGCGAGCCTTGGGTGATGTAAGTGCCAAGCTGTGGAGTCTATTACAGACTGGAATGAGCTCTTGGATTTAATTGCATATTGAAAAAGTGAGATTAGCCTGTATTGTAGTAGTACACTAATAGCCCAGGTGCATTTTGAGTCACACAGAGGTCCTGTTCTGGATCCAGTTGTGCTAGGAATAGCATCAGTTCCTTCACTTGTGCTGGTACAGTTCCTTGTATCGGTGCTGTTACTAAGGAATTTAATTAAAAAAGAGTTTGATTAATTAGTAAGTCTTTGTTACTTTGATTTACTTAACTGAAACAACCAACATAACTTCCACAAAAGATCTGATGCTGTAGTAACTTCTCTGAGGAGTGGTAGGCAGTTGGAAAAAATTGCCTTCTAAATAGCTTTTTTCCTAGGGAGAGGGGAGCAACGGGTATCCCAAGAGTGTTTGCTACTGGGCTTTATTAGGCCCAGATATGTTAAAATAGCTGGGTATTAAATATCTGTGAGGAGCTCTGGAGAAGGAAATAACAGAGAAAGAGCAAGCGGCTAACTCACAAATAAATCTGCCCAAGAAGGGGGCTTGGTAAATTTGAAGTAACAAAAAATTACCAAAAACTGGAAAAAACTGTCAGGGAGAATACAAAGAACTGAAGGCGTGATAGCAATTGAAAACAGAGATGCTGAGATTGCCCAACAAGGGCAGACCTAGTTTCAGGAACGGCCTGAATCAGAAGACAAACCACAAGTCTCCTCCCTTTAACACTGACAGACCCTGTAGATTTCTAGGGTAATAATGAAATATCGTGTCCATGGTAGAGTTTATTCCCATAATTACATGTTCTTGTTGTGCTTAATGTTTTTTGTGGTTTGTTTTTTTTTTTTTTTGGAAGAGAAGAGCAGTACATGTACAGACACTGTGAAAAGCTTAACTATGGAAGCATTAAGTA